TTAGGATATATATTTGTTTTTGTAACTTGTAGTCATATAAAGTCATTTTGGCAATGAAAAGACTTAATTCCTAAGAACAAATTATAGATTCTTACTTTTAAAAGGATATGCAAGACGTAGGCAGAAGAATGAGAATTTTAAGGTTATCCTGGGTTACAGAAGAACTTGTCTCAAAAAAAAAGTGCAATATGAATCTAAGAATGGTCACACTTTTCATTCTATTGTTTGATATTTGGACTATAGAGGCCATATAAGTGTTATAAAATTACCAAATGTGTCAGGAGCCATAAGAGGGCAAGCTAATAATTAGCAGTTGATCATCCTGAAATGCTTGCCTCGGATTAGTATATAATCTGCGACAAGTGTGCCCCATTCAGCAAGGCTGTGGCTGAACATATTTTAGGAAAGATCCTGCTATTCATATGCTTTTCCTATTATGATTATTATTATTATTATTATTATTAAACATATATAACAATCACTAAGCAATAGCACTCCCCTTTGAAGCAGATCTCTGCAGACCCACGAAGATGTACTGTCTTGTAGTGATGCTGTATAGACAAATAACGATTTCTTAAGTCCTAATGATGACCCTATAAGAATTCCTAAAATTATATCAATGATTATTAAGCTCTTTTATACTGGGACTGCTATTAAGTCCCTTTCTGATAGTCAAAAATGCTATGAGAACTCTGCCAGTCTCCCAAGAGTCATCAGTTAACAGTCCTTAGTAACTAGACTCCCTCCTGCTCAGAGCACATTCCAAGATGGTTGTAAAACAATTTACCAAAGGTCACTAAAAGGGAACTCATGATTTATTACAGGTGCTAGGACAGAAGAGAAAATATTGCCTGGGTTTATCCATACAAAACTTCACTAATTTCTTAGTTATAGTTTTAAACCTTCAGTGAACCTGTGAAGCTAGACAGGTGATGGATGTTTAGTCAGATAATTACTCCTAATGGATATGCATGTAAACATTCTCGATTGTAAACTTCTATTTCAATTTATGATTGGAATTTTGGTGTGAACTTGTGATGAACTTTGTAACATGTGATCAGGTACTCCGAATGATGTATAAGAAAAAGGGACGTTCGTTAGCGGTCACTTCACTTCACTTTCTCTCTCTCACTTCCTCTCTCTCTCCCTCTTCTCTCTCCTCTCTCCCTTCTTTCTTCCCTGCTTAGATTCTCTCCACTTAGAATTTTTCCTTTGTTAGAATTTTTTACCTTTCCCTACTTTGTCTCTTAGCTAGCTTTCATAGGAAACTTGTTACACTTAGTAATAAACTACAATAACTTCTTTAAGCTTCTTTTCTTCCTACGACCTCAAACCAACAGACCTAAGTTACAGCCTGGCAGTGCCTGCAGAGAAAGTACTAAGGATATTTGCCTAATTCTCTGCTGTCCCTCGACTGAGGTGTTAAGTGCCAGAAACTGCAGTTTCTGGACAGAGGATACCAGAGGGCAGGCCAGCTACAGTAGCCTAACCCTAGATCTTACCCACTGTCTATGCTTTTCCCATCCCCCTCGGCTGCCTCAAGAAGAACCGACTGGAGCAGAAGAAAGAAGATCACCTTCTCCTCCCACCAAGCCGGGTACAGCTGCCGGCACAAATGGAAAAGAAAACTGTCAAAAAGGACTGAAATAATCACTCACTTCTCCATAAGGCCAAGTAATTCAACCCTTTGATCAGGTACAGAGGCACCCCAAAATATCTGAAGTAATTCGTGGTTCTTTATAATATGAAAACACAAACTCCTGAGTGGAAACTTAAGAGCCTAATGAGATATGAAATGCATGAGGTTGTGTCTAGAACTTCATGTAGCACAGCCATGTGTGAGAAAGCTTCTGGTATACAAAAAACCTAAAAGATTACCCAAATAATACCAACCCCTCAGTCGTTTATATAACGTTGCCTTTTAGAACTGCTATGTCCTTTCATTTCTCCATCCTAATTCTTCCACTGGAAATTTATATCTTTAGTTAATAAATTTTCATTGCTCTACTAAAAAAAAATTACAAATCAATTTCTCTCATTAACACCCACTAAAAGATATTCAATAAGATACTATCAAATTGATTCCAAGGACACATCAAAAATATGATCCACCATGATCATGTAGGATTCATCCCAGAGAAGCAGGGATGGTTCAATATATGAAAATAAATAATCGTAATCCACTTTTCAAACAAACTGAAAGGAAAAAATAGCGTCACATTAGATGTAGAATATACCTTTGACAAAATCCAACACCATTTCATAATAGAAGTCTTGGACAGGTTAGGTATATAAAAGACATACCTAAACATAAAAGGAATTTAACAACAAGATTAGAACCAACATCAAATTAAATGGAGATAAATTCAAAGCAATTCCACAGAAATCAGGATCAGTAGAATAAAAAGAGTAAAATGACCATTTTAACAAAAATCAGTCTATGGATCCAAGGCAATCCTCATCAACATTCCAGCACAGCTACCTTGAAAGGACAATTGTCAGCTTCCTATGAAAAAAAACATAAAGTCCAGTATAGGTAAAACAATTCTGAAGTATAAGAATTTAGGGAGCTTTCACCATGACTGAACTCAAGGTGTACTACAGAGATGTAGTAATAAAAACCTCATGGTATTGACATAAAAAAGAGATAATGATCAATGGAATTAATGAAAAGACCAGGAGTAAATCAACACACTTATGGACACCTGATTTTTGAAAAAGAAGCTAGAAATACACAATAGAAACAGAATCTTCAACAAGTGATGTTGGGCTGGTCTAACTGGATGTCTGCATGTAGAAGAATGCAAATAGATTCATATCTATAACTCTGGACAAAACTCAAGTTCAAGAGGATTAAACACCAGGACATTAAACCAGACACCCTGAACGTTATAGAAGAAGAAATAAGGAATAGCTTTGAACACACTGGCAAAGGAGACAACTTTCTAAACAGAACACTGATACTACAGGCACTTAGATCAACAACTAGTAAGCAGGACCTCATGAAACTTAAAAGCTTCTTCTGTAAGACAAATGACACTAGCAGTAGGACAAAATAATAGTCTACAGAATAGGAAAGGATTTTCACAACTCCACATGCAACAAAGAGCCAATATATCCAAAATATATAAAGAACTCAAGAAGTTAGACATCAACAAATCAAAAATCCAAATCTAAAAAAAAAGAGAGAGAATTCTCAATAGAGAAATCTCAAACAGCTGAAAAACTCTTAGACAAGTGTTTAATATCCTTAGCCATAAGGGAAATGCAAGTTAAAACTATATTAAGATTCCATCTTACACCCATTAAAATGCCTAAGACCAAAAATTTAAGTGACAGCTCATGCTGATGAGGATATAGAGCAAGGGGAACACTTCTCCACTGCTGGTGGAAGTGCGTACTTGGAGAACCACTATGGAAATCAATATGACCATATGGAAATGAATGTACCTCAAGACTCACCTATACCAGTCTTGGGCAAATACCCAAAAATGTTCTATGTTCGTGATGGCTTTATTTGTAATAGCCAGAAACTGGAAACCACCAGATGTTCCCCAATGAAGAATGAATTTTTTAAATGTGGTCCACTGACACAATGGAATGTTACTTGACTATTTTTAAAATGACATCATGAAATTTGTCAGATAGATGAAACAAGAAAAAAATCATTCTGCATAAGGTAACTTAGATCCAGAAAGACAAGCATAGGATGTGCTCACTTACAAGTGGATATTAACTCTTGATTAAAAGATATTTTTACAACAATCGACTAACACAGAAAGACTAAATATCAAGGGGTAACACATACATTTCCTTGGAAAGGGGAAATATAATAGATCTTATGGGTAGACTAAGGGGCAGGTGCAGATAGGAACAGAAAAAATGAACTGGGAGTGGGAATGAGTACAGGGAGTAATGACTGGAATTCTGGGCTTTTGGTTAGCTATGAGGAAACCTAGTACAGTGGAAACTTCATGCAATATATAAGGGCAACCCTAATGAAGACGCCTAGTAATCAGTGATACAGAACATGAACTGAACACTGTCTGTAACCATACAAGGCTCCCAGCAGAAAGACTGGAACCTAAACCCAGCCACAAAACATTTGACCTACAATTTGTCCTGCCTGCAAGATGTGCTTGGGCACAGAACTTGTGAGAGTAGCCAACCAGTGGCTGGTCCAAGCCACAAGAGGGAGGCCATGTCCAACATTGCCTGGATGGCTAGGAACTAAGACTTGAATAGCCCAGACACCTAGGATAGAAGCAAACACAACTGGAAAAAAAAAAGTCAATGAAATGATTCCTAATCAATTTCTACTATACTCACAGATCTTTGCCTGGCCAAACTGTCATCAGAAAGCCTTCATTCAACAACTGATTAAAAAACAGATGCAAAGACACACAGCCAAACATTAGACAGAGCTTGGGGAATGTGGAAAGAAAGGGGGAGGGAGGATTGTAGGATCCAGAGGGTTCAAGAACACCAGGAGAACATGGCCCATGGAATAAACTAAGCAAGGTTCATAGGGGATCACAGAGACTGAATCGACAATCACAGAGCCTACACAGACCTGAACTAGGTCCTCTGCGTATATGTTTGTCTATCTTGGTTTTCTTGTGGAACTCCTAACAGTAGAGATGGGTTGTCTCTGACACTTTGCCTGCTCTTGAGACAATTTTCCATCTCCTAGATTACTTTGTTCAGCCTTGATATGAGGTCTAGTATCTACTCTTACTGTAACCTGTTATGCCAGGCTCCATTGATATCTCTTTTTTGGAGGGAAACAGAGGAGGTGTGGATCTCAGGGAGAGTGGAGGTGGGAGGCAGTGACTGGAAGGAGTGGATGGAGAGGAAGTGGTGATTGGGATGCAATTTATGAGAGAATGAGTGAAAGAGAGAGACAGAGAGTGACAGAGAAAGACAGAGAGAACAAAGATTTATGTGAAACTATTCCACTCCACAAGAGCAACTAAACACTTAGGTACATTAATTCTTACCTTCCATGGGCAAAAATTCTTTTGTGCAGTTCAATTCGTTGTGACTTATATTTTTTATAGCTTTTTTTTCTTCAAGAAGTTGAGAGTACTTCTGAAAATAAACTGGAAGAAAACAGAATCAAAACCACTCATTTTCATGATAGAAGTATGTCTATTTCTTTATTTACTACAGCATCCACATTACCTAAGTAGACAGAGCCTGACTACAATTCCCATCACCCTATAGTTAATGGAATCCTCCGCCTCCTAATTTGAAACCACAGATATTTTCAGAATCCACAGAAACACGAGTGGCGTAAAACACAGAATGGGTCCATTATCATGGCTCTAAAGGGAATGAGCCATACCCTTCAATGCTGAATGTAAGATGAAAATGCTAATTCTTCAAGGAGATGAAGCAGAGATAGATACTCATATTTAAGGATGCAAATTACCTTCTTATTGGGAGGAAAAAAGGTTTGATAATTTTGAGTGGTTGTAGGTTATTTTAGAATGGGAAGTAAGAAAAAAACCAACAAGTATTTACATAGCACGCTTTCTTTCTTAAACATGCATCTTTTCAACTGAGTTGCTCCTCCATGTAACATACTCTCGCTCACTCAGAATCAAACTGAATGGCCTCTCTTTCAACAATTGAATTTCTTCACTTTCTGCCTTGGTCACTATTCTCATTACACTATCACTTTTGCTTCACCCAATTCTGTAACACCAGCTTCAAAATGGATCATCAATAATATTAGCCACCTTGTTATTGGTCGTGAACCTAATTCTCTTCTCCCTTAGGTCTTGAGACATTGTTCTGTCAAAATTTGGCCTCACCTTTTGGCCATTACTTTTTGTTGTCTTTTAAAATCTCTTCTCCCTCCATCCACCTCTTTAAAATTTAACACTTCCTACAGCCCTATTATTATGCTTGCTTCTCATACAAAGTCTTGCCAAGTGTTTTCATGTATTGCTATGGTCTTGTCTACTG